CCTCAGAGAAGGGACGGGGCAAAGATGTTCGGTTGTGCAATTAGAAAGTTGGCAACCCTACTGTAATGTCAAACTGGGCTTCTTGGAGGAAGACTGTTCAGCTCCAGGTTTTCTGCAGTACCACCATGCTTTGAAAAGTTTGCCTGCAGACAGATTCTCTCATGCTTGAGAAGCAGGTTGCTCTCAAGGATACCTTTGTGGAATCTGCACACGCTACCTCCCTGAGGTCTCCCAGAGAGGGACTGGTCATTGGCTGTGGAAGGTGAAGTTAGTAGCAGACAAAGATTATTTGTGAGATTGGAAGTGCTATACAGTAAAAGCTCTTCTATCTGGCACTTCACCAACCGGCAAGTTCTATAAACTGGCATTTCTCATCTGCACTGAAAATCCGGTTTATAGTGCTATTGGTGTGGGGTCGGCAGGGGGCTGGGGTGTGGGAGGAGATCGGGGTGCCAGATGGGGGGGCGCTCACCTCCGGTGGCTCCCTCCAAGCAGCTCCCCGTCCCTGCTGTTGCTTGCAGAGGCGTGGCCAGGCAGCTCTGCTGCACACTGCCTCTGTCCCTCTTCCCTGAGTGCTAACTTCACGGCTCCCAGCCTATTGGTTGGGAACTGTGGCCAATGGGAGCTGCGGGGGTGGGAGGGAGTGGCGCCTGCAGACGGAGACAACGTGTCTGCCTGTTTGCAGAGCCGCCTGGCTGTGCCTCCACCAGGAGAGGCAGGGATGGGGGGAGCCACTTGCGGGGAGCTGCCAGTGGTGAGTGCACCCCCCCCTATCCAGCGCCCCAAGCCCCCTCCCACGCCCCAACCCATGCCCCAAGGCTCCTCCTGGACCCAAACTCCCTCCCAGAGCCCAGGCCCCGCAACCCCTCTCATGCCCCTGCCCCCCCCCGCCACACACTCCAAACCCCTTCCTCTGAGTTAACCAGCATTTCTAATTTACCAGCACCCCCAGTTACTCCAGCATGCTGGTTAAAAAAGCTTTTACTGTGGATTGTAGAAAGCAGATGGAGAAATGGAGTAGAAGATCAGTTTTGGCACATGCTAGTCATAATGCTGGGGTTGAACTGCCTTCAGGAAAGTTCATGCTAGATGGGTGTGTCTTGAAAAAGTACTTGGTGGTAGTTGGATGCCACCAGTGGATGGGTCTGGGCACTTGGGATTTAAATTGAACTTCATTCAACAATGTATCATGAACAAATAAGAGCGGACTCCTTCTCACTAGTTTATCTCTATAGAAGGACGTAACTTTCACAGGGCTGGGTGATGGTAAACAGGGGCATTGTCCATCCATTTTCCAGGACAGGAATGAATAGATTTCATCTTGTTCCTGTTCAGACCACCTTACGCAATTTGCTTTGAACAAGAATGTAAAATGAGATTGAAATCATAACCTAAATTAAAACTTAAACTTTTATAATAGATAAACTTATCCTTTTGGAAGAGGAGAATGTTAATTTACAGTTGGATAGTTCGTAAACTACAAAATAATTTACCTACATTCTTAGAGCTGATAGGACAAAAGTGATATCGCTTGGCAAGTTATATTTTTTTTTCTACAAAAGTTCTGCTGAATATCTATACTGAGCTGTAATGCTTTTTCCTACTTAGCGCTGCTGAAATTAGCTGCTGAAATGGTTTAATAAAAAATGGCTGTATACATTTTAAACTTTGGTTCTTTCTAACAATTGTCTTGAAAATGGAATTAAGGTGGGTATTATAGGCAGTGCAGGTAGTGGTTCCTATTGTTGAGATTGCCCGATACTTTTCTTTATAAGATGCTGTTTTCAGTATCCATAACTCTTCCAAACATAGCTATTTGGGCTGAAATCTGGATACCTTTCCATGCAGGTATCCAATTAAGGTTGAACTTTTCCAAAAAGTTAAGTAAAATCTGTTCAGCTGTTCCTCAGAACAATGTTGGGGGAAAAGAGGTTATTTTGCCACGTTAAATTCCTATAACTGCCTTGTGCAAATACTCTAGCGCTACTGTGTTTTGAAGAAGGCACTTCAGATTTGGCAAGGGGTTGCACTGGTGCCAGATGTGCCTTCTTTCATCCCTGGGAAACCTGCCCAAATTTGGCCGTTAAAATTTTCTGAGAATCTCCTTCACACACTCTTAGTAGAGATTTCTTAGTTTGGCAGCTAAATTTGGTGAAGATGTTTACTAAAGGCAAGTCTACACTACAGTGCTATATCAGCGCAGTTGCACGTCTGGTGAAGACAC